ATCCTAATGTCATGTCTGACTCTTCTGCGACCCAGTGTCTTTTGGACCATTGCTCGCCAGGCTCCTCTGTCCATGGGCTTCTCCAGGCAAGAATACTGGAGTGGGTTGCCATTTCCTCCTCCAGGGGCTCTTCCTGACCCAGGATGGAACCTGCGTCTCTTTCCTGAATTGGCAGGAGGGTCTTTTATCTTTAGGGCCCTCTGGGAAGCCTAATGACAGACAAACTGATGGCAGACTATGGGCGCTGAGGGTTTAGAAAGGGGAGAAGGCAAAGTTCTCCAGTGGGGTCTCTGGAAGTGTGGGGTTGAAGCTGATAAGCAGTGGGAGGTACAAGCCTTCTGCAAGTCTCGTCTCTCGGGGCAGGTGGTGAGCAGGAAGAAAACGGCACATTGGTGGGGAACAGTGGGTCACAGCGGCTCACTTTTAAACGCACAGCTGTACCAGTCTGACTATAAGCCAAGCGAGGAAAGATAACCATTTATTAAATGAAAAACTATAATGCAACTTTTGAATTAAAAAAAAATGGACAAAAAATGGAACAAAGCCATCTGAACACACCATCAAACACTCAGAAGAGGAAAGTAAACCTCAGCAATGTAAGGTAGAAGTAATTTGTTTATAACAACAGGGACAAAAATGAAGTCTATTGGTCAGTACACTAAACGTGAATGGACTTATTATGAAAAAGAAAACAGATCCTGTCAACGAGGCATAAAAAATAAACCCACTTATGGTCTTGGCACAATCTAACTTAAAGTGAGGAAGAGAGGTTGAAAATGAAAGGGAAAGAGTCATCAGGTAAGTGTAAATAAGAAGGAAACAGGAATGGAAAACTATGATCAGATCCATGGAAAATAAGCATAAAAGAAATAGGACAAAGTTGAACATCATGAATTGATTGAAGGCAGAATTTGTGAAAAGGAGATATGGTTTCAATTCACCTGTGCTTTGAACACCTCACATAAGATGTTTCAATGATTTGAGATTTAGGAAAAATGTGATTTTAACGTCTATATCTGTCGGGATCGGACATATCTCACAGAAAGGGTGGGGGCAAGACTCAAAATCTCAGCGGGGCAGGGGTGACGCCCCAGGAACGTCAGCGGGGACTCTGGCTGCCCTGATTGTTGTCAGCTCCGGCCGCCCACTTGCAGAAAGACCGCTGGAGAGCTTTGCCCTCTGAGCTTTCTACACCCTGCAGACGGCCGTTCTGCACCTGTCTGGTGGTGATGACACCACCTGCCCACGAGGTGGGGCTGATGAAGCACACACGCAAAGTACACGTAAACCTATAGTTTGGCAAAGAGTCTTGAACCAACATCGACGCCCTGGCTTTGAACTGTTCTCTGGTTGTGTGACATTATCTCTGAAGGAAGCCAGGGGAAGGCTACCTGGGAGCCCTCTGTCCTATTTTAGCAACCTATTGTAGGTCTAAAATTATTTTGGCATAAAAAGTTCTTTTTTAAAAGGCACAAAAAGCTTACCTGCTAAATAGAAGCTTATAGTCTCCTGAACAGAGAATATGCATCCTTTTATGTTCACGGCACATTTAAAATCTTAGCAAATCTTGAAAACTAGAGATTTATAGGTTCAGTTGACTAAGAGTCAGTGGCCAACAAACCTTCAATTTCTTGATAATTAAGAAACATATTCTTAGGAAAGATTTGCTCAAAGAGGAAATCAGAAGGGAAATTGCGAGTCCCCTTGGGAGCAATGAAAAAGAAAGTACCATCTAATAAAACTCATGGGACACAGTGAAAGCCGCATTCAGAGGGAAAAAAAAAGGTAATTGATCACTAATCTTGGGAAATGAGTAAAGGACCATGAAGAATTATAATGGATCTGGGATTTTAGCCATTTGAAAGCTAACGCAGTTAAGCCAAAGCTTCGTGGCTGCTAGGAGGACACAAGACTCCCAGGTCAGAGAGAGAGGAAGGACCGCGTGACTCAGCATGGCCTTGGCTTCTCACCAGGACCCCTGATCCCAAGTCCAGGGCAAAGACGGGCGGGCTCAGCTGGCACCACACACGGGGGGCTGTGTCACTGCTGAGGATCCCAGGCTGGCAAACCCTGATCTTCAAAGGGACTGCAAAGTGAAGCTGCCCAAACCTCGTCCCGGAGGAAACGTTATTTATAATCTGCTGGTCAGCGAGAAAATCTGTCCTCTGCCCTGGAGGGAACCAACCACACATCTACCTTTAAAAGGCTTCTTGGTCCAAAATACTCTTGAAGAAGCCCAAATCAAAATGACAGTGAGCTAGGCCTCATACCAGTCAGAATGGCCATCATCAGAAAGTCTACAAGCCACAGGGGAGAGAAGGGAACCCTCCTACACTGCTGGTGGGAATGTGAACTGTGCAGCCGCTGTGGAAAGCAGTAGGGGGTCATCTCCTCCCTTCCTCACGCGTCCTCCCTGGGGTCACTCCCCAAGTGAACTGCTCGAATCCAAGTTGGCGCAGGATCTGCTGTGGGGACCCAAAGCAGGATGAGTGTCTTGTCGACAGTCGATATCACGATGACTACAGTTTTCCTGCCCTAAGTAGCTGCTCAGCTCTTTGTCCAGAAGCTATATTTTCCTGCTTTGCATCTTTGATTTTTAGCATTTGACCATGTTTAAGCCAAATAAGTAGAATACTGTTTTAGTTACAGTGAGCTTCACAGAACTGCTTCCCACTGCATGTTTCAATCTAGATGACCGTCCAGTTCAATAAAAGCGTCTCTACAGGGAGTGATGGCTAGATAAACAGCCATCTGTCTGTCTGGCTTCCGGCTGGGGTAGGTTTTAACATTGTTGTAACACCATCCTCCAAGGACCAAGCTAACAAATGGAGTTAGCACTGTTCAGATGAGCTGTGTAGCTCTAGGTTTGGGGCTGTTTGTGGGTGGAACCCTAACAGTGGGCTGCATGTGGCCATTGGATGAACAGGCAGCCAAGCTGGGAATGAAGATCAAGTCCTCATGAGAAATGAGGAAACTGAGGGGCCCGTGTGGAGAGCCCTTCCACGATCTTTCGGGGTACATCAAAGGGCATCACAGACAAGGCCAAAATCCTCAGCCAGCAATATTCTTAACTGGCACCAACCCAGAAGAACAAAGAGTTCCCCTGCACAGGAGCTTGGAAAAATGTTAAGCTTAACCAGATGCCCACCTTGGATAGTCAGCGCAATTATACCCTTAAAAACACCTAGGTATGAGCAGTGTTACTTTCTAGAATGACTTCCAAATAATTTTTTGAAATGAATGTACATCCAAAGTAACAGAATGCTTCTGGTTGCTATAGAGCATTTAAACTTTCCGTGGTCTCCCTTCTGATAATGCTTGCCTGCCGGGTTCAGTGGCTACCTAAGGCCACTCCCTGGAGTCACCTTTCTGCAGGACCATTTGATTGAGTTAAGCTGACCCTTAAACCTGCTTTCCAGATTATAAGCCTGGACGTAATTTAACGCATCTGGAATTGTAACAACTCGACTCTAAATCGTGTGTCCCATTCAGAAGTAATGAGAGTAAACAGGAATCTTTTGAACAGCTACTCTTGGGTGAACACCCCTTTGTTGACAAAGCCTTGGGCACAAAAGTTGATGGAGCTGGGAGCTGTCCTGTTTCCTAGAAGCTGTAGATGGACGTGGTCTGGACAGTGGGTGCCGAGTGTGGGCCCTGGAGCTGCAGGACCCGGGCTTGAGTCCGTCCCACCACTCGTGGGACGTAACCTTCCCAAGGCTGCTGCAGTGACTGTGTCACGGGGAGCAGACCCTGGGAGCTCAGGAAGTGACCACCAAACACACGGCCCTTAAAATCCAGATTCGTGCTGCTCTCTGAACCACCCAGTGTTCACATCTGGAAAGAAAACTCAGCCACTGAACTCAAAGCTGGAAATAAATGCAATTCACAGTTGCAAAAGAAGTGCTCTGGAAGAAGGAGGAAGAGGAGAGTCAAGCCTCTGGTTTTGTAAAAAATATTCATGTTTTCTAATACTTGTCACTAATGGGATTAATATATTCAATATGTGCCTGGCACAGAGTAAGCTCTTTGTGTGCGCGTTCAAGCTCAGTCACTTCAGTCGTGTCTGTGATGTCATGAACTGCAGCCCGCCAGGCTCCTCGGTCGGTAGAATATTCCAGGCAAGAGTAGTGGGGTGGGCTGCATTTCCTCCTCCAGGGGATCTTCCCGACCAAGGGATTGAACCCACATCTTCTGCGGCTCCAGCACTGGCAGGCAGATTTTTTTTTTTTTTTTTACCACTGACCCACCGGGGACGTGCAAGCTCTCTGTAGGTGATCCTTTGAAATTGCCAGGGGCAGTCACGGCAAGCAAACAGGCAAAGCACTCAGGGATGGGATGGAGCAAACGGATACACAGACACCTTCAGGGTCCTTCTTTTAAGCAGAGGCTCGCCGCCTCCCTCAGCATGCACAGTGTCACTGTCATTCCTTGCTGGAAGAAGCTTCTTCCTCAGAACGGTCAGGTGGCTGAGTTCCTTAGGCCTGGCCCTCTCGGTTCATAGCCGGGCCTCTGAGCATCTCTGAGCCACACGTGACCTGGCCAAGTGGCCTGTTTGGATTTGAGTCCTTCCTTCCCAGTCATCTGTGCAGACCCAGCTCAGGTCCTGCTGTTTTCCTGACCTTCCTCCCACAGTGTCTGGAACACCACCGTCAATTTAACCTGCGGTGGCTTCAACGTTTCTGGCCCTGGAGGGTGGGCCGGCCACACCCGGCCAGGGAGGTCACCCGAGCGGGGCAGACGGGCCTCCCGGCTGGGGGCAGGCTTACCACTGGTCACACGGCGCTCCGGCCGGTCGCGTCCCCAAGGAGCGCAGCAGCAGCAGGGAAATCAATTCCTCGCCGACAGAGACCCATCTGGTTCCAGATTTAATTATCATTGTGTTCTGTAATTATTGGCTTGCAAGGTAGCGCAGAGAAGGAACCGTCTTGTTTTCAGCTCCCTCCACCCCCGACCTCTTGAAATAAAACTGGCAAAAATAAAAAGAGCTTTCTGGGAAGCACTTAATCATTTAAACATTCATGAATCAGGAATACAAACAAAGGTCCCGAGTCTCTCGAGGAGCGAAGGAGGCGCCAGAAGGGCCAGGACAGCGAGAGGAGCCTGGCCAGGGTCTCCACCTCCGAGGGGCTGCCCCGGGCCCGCCGGGCGTACCCGGTGAAGGGCACGCGCGGCCCGCGGGCGGGGAGGCGCGGCGAGCTCTCGCGGCCGGCAGGCTGTCGCCTCCTGGAGGTCACCGGGCCCTTGGGGCGGGGGCCCTCCAACCGGCGGCTCAGGTGGGGACGCGCGCGCACCTCCGGCGGGGTGCGGAGGGCGCACGGCGGCGGGCCCGAACGCGGTGGCCCGCACTGCCCGGCTTCGGCTCGGGTCCGGGCGGCCCCGGGTCGGGGCGCGGGGCCGCTCCGGCGCGGCGTCTTTCTTCTGCTCGCGGTGATGTCATCGGCGGCAGCGGCTGGGGGCCGGGAGGCGGCGGCGGGGGCGGCGCCGGGCGGCCGCCGCAGGTTCATGTGCATCTAATGAAAAGGCGCTTGACAGTCGGCCAGGACGCACGCGAGGGAGCGCGAGCCGGCCGGACCGCGGCGCCGCCCGAGCCAATCGCCGTCGCCGGGCTCTCCATGGGCGAGCGGGAGGAGGGGGCGGTGGGCGCAGCCGGCCGGGCCGCGGCCGCTCCGAGGTGAACGGCGCCGAGACGCGCTCGCGGCGCGGGGAGGCCGGGCGCGCCGCCGCGATGAATTCCGCCGAGCAGACCGTTACGTGGCTCATTACCTTGGGCGTGCTGGAGTCGCCCAAGAAAACCATCTCGGACCCGGAGGGCTTCCTGCAGGCGTCTCTGAAGGATGGGGTGGTCCTCTGCAGGCTGCTGGAGCGCCTGCTGCCCGGCACCATCGAGAAAGTGAGTGCCCCCCCCCCCCGCCCCGGCCCGCGCACGCACCCCCGGCGGACAGGCCCGGGGCGGAGGGAGGCCCGGGCGGCGGGAGGCCCCGCGCGGACGGAGGCCCCGCGCCCCACCTGGCCCCCGCCGCGGCCCGGGGTACGCCGAGACGCGCGGGCGCGGGGTCGCCGGCGCCCGCACCTGGTGGCCGCGCGCGCGCGCGGAGAAGCCCACGCGCCTCTTTTGTGCGCGGGCCCGGGCGCGCGGGGGGCGCGCGGGCTGCGCGGGGAGCCGGCGGCGGGATCCCGCCCGGGCTCGGGGCGCCATTGTGTGCGGGGCCGGCGGGGATGGGGGGCCGCGTTCGAGGGGAGCGGCCCGGGGATGCCGGGGGTCGCGGGAGCCCCGCCCGCAGGAGGAGGCGCCGCTCCGGGCGACCTGAGCCGAAACCGGGCTGCGGCGCCCGCGGGGCGTCCTCCCCGGCTTTGTTTGAACAGCTTTTGTTGCTGGTATCGTGTGAGACTTTCGGCCTCTGGTTCGCTGGCCAGTTGCATTTTTAAAAGATACGTTTATCAGTCGCGGAGAGCTGGGCTGGGAGATGGTGTGCTGACCTCCCCAGGGAAGAATTCTCCTGTCTCCAAACCCGGAGGACCGCACGCGGGGTCGGGAAACCCTGGCGTTGTTCAGGGCCGGCCGCAAGTCCTGGGTTGCATTTTCAGGTTCATCCCTGGTTCGGAACAGAATCCTGAGTCTCGCAGACCCGACTGCCCTTCTCAGTGACTTGCGGTTTCCTCGCGGCTGGAGTGTGAACCTTGACCGCAGCTCTGAGTGATTCAACTTTGCTTTCCCCTGGCTCAGCTGACAAAGCAGGGCCTAGCCGATAGAGCGCTTTTAAACACGGTGGATCCCCGTGCTTCAGAAACACTACAATCTTACCCGTTTTTTTTTCTCCCCCATACATAATCTAAGGATCAACAGTTACTTAAATGGTGTTAAATGTAGAAATTAAAGTACACCATAACTTGGAAAAATTACTTAATTTTTTAAATAGGGTGTATTGGTCCGAACGGTACAGTATCAATTTGCTAACAATAACATGTTAATTAGGTGACTTTAGAAAGTAAAATGTTTAATCTTTTAAGTTCCTGCATGTTCTGGCACTACATTTTAACGGTCAGAAAAGATTGTATTCATCTGAATGGTGTATACATACTAGTTTCAGGTATTTTCTTACTTGGAACATATTTTTTTAACTATTTTTTATTGGAATATAGCTGATTAACGATGCGGTGATGGTTTCAGGTGGACAACAAAGGGACTCAGTCACACAAACACATGTATCCTTTCTCTCCCAAACTCTCCTCACATTCAGGCTGCCACATGGAACACATTTATGCAAACAGAATCTGCATTTTAGAAGGACTGTCCCCCTGTCTGCCCAGGGAATAAAAATGTCGCTCTTCAGTGAACCTGGTGTCACAATAAAATTATGATTGAAGACAGGAATAAGGGCAGACCAACTTCCAAGGCACTCAGAATACTTTGTTGTCATCTGGATATCAGGACCTCTGGTAATAAGAGACAGATGTTGAGAAGCATTGAAAATGCATGCTAACTTAACCAAAACAGGCTTAAAAGATGGTTACATTTCTAAGAGTAAAGCTTTAAGAGACTTGAGAGGCTGTTTGATTAGAAACACGTCATTATCAACGCATACGCTATTTGGCATATTAACTGCATTCATATTGGCTGGTAGACTTCAAGAATCACATTCTTTTAAATTGTAGAAAGATTTTTTTAGAAAACTGTAGCACTCCTTTCATCTCGGAAGCAACAAAGAGAGGAATGACTAACATGTTTAATTTGGAGAAGCCAAGCTGAAAAAACCCAGCATGCTCTAAAACCACGGTCGTTTGGGAACTTCTTACAGTGCGGCCACCCTTTCATCACCGCCCCCCCACCCCCGCCCTGAGGCCCCAACTGGTTTGTTTAGAGGGACCCAGCCACAGTGCAAGTTCAGTGTCAAAGGCGCAAATTACAGACATAGAGACCACTTCTCTGTGGTACAAAGGTAGGTTTGAGGAGTAAAATATTAGCCATTCTCCGCCCCTGGAAAACCTGGGTTTCAGAAGTTTCATGAGCATTTTCCATTTCCTGAGATGCGTTATTTACTCGAACTTTCCCATGTTTGCATGCATACCAGATAACTTTCCTGTTTGCCAGAAAGCACACACGCTGAGCACCCTTCACCCCAATGTGGGAACGCCAGGCTGAGGACGTTTTTCCTTAAAAAGGAACATTTGGAAACTTTGCTGAGTATTCATATGGAATCAAAAGGCTCTTGACTCGGCCCCAGCTTGCCACATGAACACATGGAAGACTGGTTAACGGGGTGTCAGCAGCCTGCAACTTAACTTTTTGCAAATTCACAAAGTGTAAAACGAACCATCAGATGGAGGAGAGCGCAGCACAGTCAGGAAGAGCGTTGGGGTGACTCTGGTTTCCCATGTGCCTTTCATTAAGAAAGCACGTCCCCGTATGTTTCGTGGCTTTTGTAGGTTGGTTCTGTTTCGGGGCCGGCAAGAGGGTGAGGAATGAAAGAGAAGTTCATCATGGTTCAGATTGTTCTGCTCGCTTTACAAAGCTTTCTGTTGAGGTTCCCTTCACGTGGCCTGCTTTTCTTTAGGCGGAAGGTCAGACGGGGACAGGAGGGGCTCAGAAACTTCCCAGGAGCGGTTCAGGCGAGAGATGCAGTTTGTTACCGCCGAGGGGGTCCTCTCTGCCGAAGGGGAGAGAACAGTGGGTGTTCTGAGGTTTCCTTCATCTCCCTGGGCGAGCCCCTGCTGCTTTGATTCTGCCTGGTAACAGCCAGGGTGTTTTTCTGACCTGCCCATACTGTTTGCTTCCGCCATTCATTCCTCCCGTGATGAGGAACACACGGAGTCTGCAGGGTCCAGGGAGCCCTCTGGGCACCCGGCTCCTTAGGTAGCACTTTAACTGACTCTGAACCATGTAGTCAGAGGGGGTGAAATTGAGAGGCAGTCACATCCCAGCCTCTGGAACTCCTGTAGGACCAGGAAGACATGTTCGGATAACGGGAGTGGTCAAAGGCTGCTTTACTTACTTCCTTACTTGGTTATTGGATGCCCCTCATGGCTGGTGGGGTCTTGGTTTCACCAGGAAGCGAACCCCAGCCCTCGGCGGTGAGAGTGTGGAGCCCTAACCACTGCACTGCCAGGGAAGTCCCCAGGCCGCTTTAATGTCGCTTGTTACTGCAGCAGATGACGTTGCTCGATTCAAACACCCAGGGACCCGGTTCCCCCTCTCTCTGCCCAGGAACACAGCGCATGCCGTAAGCCACCAAGTGCGGCCAGGAGACCCTCTCCCGCCCGTGTCTGTGGAGTCACACACACTGCCCTGTGGTCCTGCCCGTGCCTGGGGTGTGGTGTGCGTCCAGGCTTGTGGGAGCCGCTGGGCTGTGTGTTACCTTCCTGGGACTTCGCAGCAAAGACCCACAGACCCGGCCTCACATACCAGGACTGCATGCTGTCACGCCCTGGGAATGGTGTTGTGGGCAGGGCTGCGCCCTCTGCAGCGGTTGGGGCTCTGTCCCCCCAGCCCCGAGGTCTCTGCTGGTTCCTGGCTGGTGGCAGCACAGGTCCAGTCTGCCCATGGCGTCCCCTGGGGTCTCCTCTGTGTCGGGACGCCCCTTTCATAAGGACGCCGGTCAGTGGATGAGGGCCGCCCTCAGGGAATGACACTTCCAAATAAGGTCCCATTCTGCCCTGGGGCTTAGGGCTGGAACATACGAATTTACGGGGTCATGACCCAACCCATAACAGGTTGCACAGTAAGTTTGACCGAATCAGCTTATTATGTATTTACCTGCCTGCAGGTGCAAGGTGCTATGGGAGACAAGAAAGACGGCATAACAAGCTCTTAAGGCTTTTAGTCCAGGGGAAGACATAATTCTAAAAACAAGAGCTGTGTGGGGCTGAAAGAAAAGTCAGAAAAAATGTCCGGTGTAGACAGAGAGGGGCTGAGGAATGAGGAGCTGGAAGGGACTTGCCCTGGGCTGTCCAGCCTCTGCTGATTTCTGAGGCATGGGTTAGAGTTTGGTGTTTATTTTCCCAACCTATGATCAGGGCTTTCCTGGTGGCTCAGCAGAATCTGCCTGCCAAAGCAGGAGACCTGGGTTCGATCCCTGGGTTGGGAAGATCCCCTGGAGAAGGAAATGACAACCCACTCCAGTATTCTTGCCTGGAGAATCCCATGGACAGAGGAATCTGGTGGCCTTCAGTCCACGGGGTCGAAAAAGAGTCAGACACAATTTAGCGACTACACAGCAACAGCAAACTGATGGGGCATTCCTGCCTGATCTTCCGCAGGCTTGCAGAGAATCCGTGCATTCTGATGCGGCAAGGCAGGAAGAAATTGCATTTTCCTGATTGATTCCTGACTTGCTTTCTGCTCATTCTTGAGATTCTGGGTCGGGCTGGGGTAGAAGAAAAATGTAGTCCTAGTGGCCATTGGACAGCGGTTCTGAGCGCCCACCCGGAGAAGCGTGTCTTTTTTCTGGCCCCCTGAGAAGGATGTGGTCGGCAGTGTGGTGTGGTGTCAGGGCCTTACTCCGGACCAGCTGGTTCGGAAGCCGGAGCCCTGTAGCTGCCACAGACACCTGCTCATCGCGGGTGAAGCTCTCTGAGAGAAAGGTTCCAGGACGCATGGACTTCTGTGTCTGTAAGGAGAAGACACCTTTAAAGTTTGCAGACGGAATTACTGACTGTATTGAGTTACTTCTAATGAAACTGCTTGAGGTTTCAGGATAGTTGATTTTGTCCTAAGAAACATCTGCCTTTGAAGCAGTGACTTTCAGATACTACCCAGCGGCAGTGAAGAGAGGAGCCATAACTGCGCTTGCTGCTTCATTCGGAACAGAGCAGACACAACTAAATTCCATTCAAGTGGGACTGCCTCCCGTCATCTCCCGAGAGCCACGCTGGAAGTGCTGGGGTGTCGATGCC